TTTTTATTTTTATTTTTTTATTTTTTTTTTTTCCTTGCGTTATGCGGGCCTCTCACTGTTGTGGCCCCTCCCATTTGCGGAGCACAAGCTCCGGACGCGCAGGCTCAGCGGCCATGGCTCACGGGCCCAGCCGCTCCGCGGCATGTGGGATCCTCCCGAAACGGGGCACGAACCCGCGTCTCCTGCATCGGCAGGCGGACTCTCAAGCACTGCGCCACCAGGGAAGCCCGGACGCCCTGTCTTTGACAGTGGTCCTACTGAGACTGGGCAGAGCGACCCCAGGTGGTGGCAGTCCCTGCTCCAGTACAAACAGGCTCACAGGTGTGGGCTCAGAATCTGGGCCAGCTGCAACTCCCTGGACCATAGATGCAGAGATCTTTGTCAGAGTCTCCCTGACAGGGTCGCCTCTGAAGGATTTCTTCTTCTGGCCCCTGCAGCTCCCAGGTGAGTGAGTGTCACCCCAGGCTCCTTTCTCTTACTGCTCTCTCCTGACCTTCCTGTGGTTGTTCCCACCCGGAATGTAGTCGGAAGCTCCTGAGACCCCCGCGAGCAGTCATATTACTTTCAGGGTTCACAAGAGGGAAGCAGATGGCATGAGGGCTGGGACGTGTCTGCTGCATGGCCCCATGGGAGTTTATGGCTGAAGGAATTCGTGGTCACTGACGAAAAGACCCTCTTGTTTCTTCCAAGTAAAGAAACCAAACCTTCTCCCTTAGCAGGGCTTGTGTTTGCCTAGGATTCGCCTGCCGCCCGGCTTCCTGACAGTTTCCAGGGCACCATCCTTCATCCTGGCCTTCTTTGTCCTCACCCTTTGGGAAGCCCATGTAGGAGGGTCCTGGGGGTCACGCAGGAAGCAGCCACAGGCTGGTCTGCAAGACGAGCCTTTCTATTACTGCTGCCAACTCCCACCTGAGGGACAAACACTTTCAGGACTACAGTCAGCTCCCTGCACTTGACAGTTACCACTAAAGGCTGAATCTGTGCCCCTGTCTGTCTTTGTTGGCTGCTGGGGTGGGTTCCAGGGGCATCTGAGCCTCTGTTTGCTTGGGGAAGCCTCTCCTTCCCTCCCAGTGCCTCTCGTATTTCCTTACTTACCAGTCGGAGCTGTAGTAAATGTGGACTGTCAGGAGATGCCCAGCGCACTGAGCCAGGCTCCTTCTGTCCCTGCCCCACTCACCAGCTCTGTGCCCCTGATGGGTCCACCCCCGTTACTGAATGGTATCCTCCACTTCACGGTGAAAGTCCCTGCATGCACAGCTGTTCTGGGGTCCAGCCTCTGGTCATTTCTTTAATCTCCTGAGGGGGCAGCTCCCTCCTCTTCTCCATCATCACCCTGATACAACTGACCTGATTCTCTCCAATTATTGGGCTTTACAGCACTCCCTGATCGGGGGAGGTTCGCACACCCCATCCCATGATCCCTGTTCAAATCAGTCTTTTCTCAGTGTCTGAATGGTCTGGATTCCGGGTGTGGTGCCGGGCAGGGCAGGGCCTCACTCAGCACAGGAGGGGCAGAGGGCAATGTAGCCGGGCCCCCAGGGCTGTGGGCAGGGCATCTTCACAGAGTGAAAGGGGAACAACTGTTAGACCAGCTTTGTGTGAGTCCTTCCAACAACTGGCCCGGCATCTGGGAGACGTCTCACCATTGCGTGTGTCGCCCCCATTCCCTTCTTGTCCCTCTCCTTGCCTCTGAGATCAGACACCCCCGCTGTTCTCCTGAACAGCTTTCAGGCCCAGGGAACCACTTCTTCAGGAGAGACCTTATCCTCGTTTGCCTTCCCTTCTAGTCCTAGAGAGGCTGAGAGGGACTTAGTCTTTCAGGAGTGAATTCTGGGAGCTGAGCCAGAGGAGGAGACCAGGCTCAGAGGCTTAGCCAGCTGCCCAAGGTCACACAGCTGGTTGGCAGCAGAGCTGGGTTTTGAAGCCACTTGTGTCTTGATTCCACGTGTATTCCCCTTGTAAGAATCTCCAGTAGGTAAGGGAGACCCCGGTCCCAGGCTGAGCAGGAAAAAGGGAAGAAGATAGTTGTGAATCATGAGACCAAGGACATAAAGGCCCAATGTGGAGCGTGGGGAGGGGAGAGGTGAGCAGGGGAAACAGGGAGGAGTGGGAGGACCTGGAAACGGTGGTTGTAAAAGATCCTCAAGGGGTTGTGTTGGAAATGCAATGACATCTATTAGAAATGGTGTAAATGTACTAAAGAGCATTAACACTGGGGCCAGAGTCAGTATTACTCACCAAAGAGGGTGAACAGGAAAATCCTGAGGACTCCATGCCAGAGAGCCTGGAGGCTGGTTGGCCAACCAACATTGTGTGTGTTCTTAAGTCTTCCTGTCTCAAGTTTGGACTCGAGTTTCACCCTAGCCTGCCTGTGTCTGTCCCCTGCAAAGCCATGTGGCTGTACCTGGCGGTCCTCGTGGGCCTGTACTACCTCCTGCGCTGGTACCGGGAGAGGCAGGTGGTGAGCCACCTCCAGGACAAGTTTGTCTTCATCACGGGCTGTGACTCGGGCTTCGGGAACCTGCTGGCCAGGCAGCTGGACCTGCGAGGCTTGAGGGTTCTGGCTGCGTGTCTGACAGAGCAGGGGGCCAAGCAGCTGAGGAACCAGACATCAAACAGGCTGGAAACAGTGATCCTGGACGTCACCAAGACTGAGAGCATCACTGCGGCCACCAAGTGGTCAAAGGAACATGTGAGGGACAGAGGTACCACCCATATTTCTCAAGTCTGATTCCTCTCTGTGAAGTGGAGACCCCTTGACAGCTGCCTGGGGAGATTCCCAAGGTGTTTTCCAGGACTTGAAGTCCTCCCTGTGTTCTCCTCACCCAGCTTGCCAGCCAAGCCTCTTCCATCCCGCACCCACCTCG